GTTCATTTCTTTATTTGGTACATAGTCGGAGAAGGGGTATCGATTTATTAATTTTGCCTTTTTTTTATTCCTTGTCTCTGGTTGGTTCTCTGCCTTCACATTAATTAATAATAATGCTAATAATATTAATAATATTAATAATAATAATAATAATAATAATAATAATAATTATTATTATTATTATTATTATTATTATTATTCTTGCTATTATACTATTATTATCATTATATTGTTATTATGATTATGATTATTATTTACTATTATTAAGTCAAGGTTACCCTTCGTGCAACACGTAACGACGGACAAGACGACAGGTTCCTAGTACCTATCACGGGCTTTTACAAGAGTCCCACCAGATCTCGACTAAGACCGAGCTTTTCAAGGTTTTTCGCTAGTCGCTTTTCAAAGGCCAATAGCCGAGATAATTAGCGGTAATACTTTGATTGTTTGAAGTTAGTAGGTCCTTTTTAGCTCGTGTCAAAGATCCTGATATTGTGTAAAATCTTTGATAAAGGGCAATTTTTTATTTTTGTTGATATACAGAATGTCCGGGTTGTAATGCTACATTTGTCTATCATTGTATCCCAGCAAACTTTAGCGGAACCATTCGCGATCACTGGTTTGGGGTTGTACTTGTAATACGGCAGAATGTCCCTGATCAAATTATTTTTGTAGCAGATGTTACTATGTACGATTTTCGCTATGTTATTATATTATATTCAAGCATTCTTTTGGAGCAATTACGCTACATGCGCCGATAATATGCTGTATGGTTTCAAGTTTCTGATTGCACACTCTGCACAAATCGCTTGGAATGTTCTGATTCAGGACATATCGGATATAGTACCTTGTAGGCACAACCTGGTTCTGCACCGCGAATATGGCTCCCTCCCTTTCCCGATTCAGTCGACCCTGGCGAAGGTATGTGCAAGACAATTCCTTGTCTTGAACCGGCCATGGACTTCTTTACTTAGCCTTTCTTCCTCCTGATTAGAGGGAGCAAACGCTACATCGTTGACTAAATTGAGGGGAGTGAAGTTTTTAAGTTTAAGTAAGTTGGAGCTTTTCAAATATTTTACCAGTTTCTGTTTTTGATTTAAGTGACGCGTTCGCAGACAGAAGAGACCTCGTCCACCATTCTGCCTAGTGATATATAGTCGCGCATTAGAGGAATTCGGATGATGGCTTCTATATGAGGCTAGTGTTGTGCGTACTAACCTATCAATTTCTTGCAGGTCAGTATCGATACATTTTATAACCCCAAGTGTGAACTGCACCACTGGCATCGCCCAGGAATTATTATTATTATTATTAAGCAGGATTGTGCCACTACACAAGAAGGGAGATACCAGCGTCCCCTCAAATTATGGACCTATTGCAATCATCCCTATAATGGGTAAGATTGTCGAAATCATCTTAAAAAATCGTTTACTGAAATATTTTGAAAAATACAAACTTTTGTACAAAAAACAGTTCGGGTTTAGGCGCGGAAGGTCCACCACGCATGCTCTGCTAAGTCTTCTTGGGAGGGAGCATTGTCGAAGCCTTTGACGCTCGTGAAATAGCAGAGGCCATCTTTTGTGATCTCACGAAGGCTTTTGATTGTGTGGATCATGGAATGCTGATGCAAAAGCTTGAGTGGTATGGCATCAGGGGCATGCCTCACAGATTATTGCGCTCTTACCTTAGCGGCAGACTTCAGCATGTCGAAGTGAATGGAAGATTCAGTAGTTATATCTTGCCGGTATTGTTTGGAGTGCCGCAAGGCTCGGTGCTCGGGCCCCTGTTGCTTATAGTTTACATCAACGATTTGCCTTCCCACAAACCATGTAAAACTACGCTCTACCCGGATGATACAATTCTTTTATTCCGAGCTAGGAACCCATATGAACTTAGTATTGATAGTGTGGCAAATAAGACTAGAGCGCGTGGATGGTTCAGGTTGAACTCCTTACAGTTAAATAAAAATAAAACGAACCATCTTATTTTCTCTTGTAGCAAGGTGCACAATTTAACCAATGCTCCGGTTAAGGTGTTATTATTATTATTATTATTATTATTATTATTATTATTATTATTATTATTATTATTATTACTAGTGTTCATTAAGATTATATGGGCGAAGTCTGACCTTAAAGATGCTCACACTTAACCCACATCTAAATACAATCTACACATATCAAGTAAAAGTAAGCGTGAAACTGTAACAATAATATATGTACCTTAAACGACACATCAAAGAAGAACCTTGTTATAACATATAAATTTACACTTGATTTTTACAATTTAGTCATTACCCTCGGAAAGAAGTAAATGCCTTTATATATAAAAGCTAAAAGTTTTTCATGTTGCAAGAAACTTTGATTTGAGAATGTGATTTAAGGAGTTGAACAAAAATTCAGCAAAAGAATATCGAAATTTTGCAGTTCTATGTAACAGGATAGTGAGCGTGGCTAGGTCATGAATTGATTTTCTAAATAATAATTTATCATTCAAATATTTAGGAATGCTGGAATTTACCACACGTTTCAAAAAACATAGAAAGTTGTGCTTGAAAACGTTTTTATAGTTAACAAAATTAATTTCTTGAATGCTCCGGATATACGGTAACATTTGCGTAAGTTATAAATAAAACGGCAACAACTATTCTTATTTTTTTGTAGATAAGAGGTATCAGTGTCACAGGGCTATCATACAAAATTGCGGTAAGATAAACGAGAGAGAACAAGACTCTTACATAACTGGATTTTCATGTCATCCGACAATATATCTTTACTAGAATACAGCAATCTCAAAATCATATTACACTCTTTGGAGACATGCGCAACATGATCCAAAACGTCATATTCTTATCAATATATATTTTTTTAACACACTCTTCAACTTTAAATAATGTTGAAATGGAATAACAAAAAAATTTTCCACCAAAAATTTTTTACACAATCGTTTGCAAATTTTATCAAAATTCAAGTCAAAATCAAATGAGGAAAATTATTTAAACGTACAATGGTAAGTAGCGCAAAATATCCTTTTAATAACAATAATAAATAATAGAAACCAATTGTTGTAATTTCCTTCGATAGCTCAGTAAAACGACAGAATGAACTCGCAATAATACAAAACTTTAAAAGGAGAGAAAACGCTTCAAGTCTCTTACCTTGATGGTGTTCGGTTGTTTTTCACTTAAAGAAAGATGATAGCACTGGATAACGGTACTAACACCTATGTCAATCAAGGTACGACTTCACACCTTCTGTTCTTCGCGAATTTTTGTTCCCTCGTAGGTTTGCGTGAGGATATTTAAAGAACATGCTAGCGTGGTTTTAAATTGAACCAGATCTTTATCATTCTTTTTTCTATTTCTCACTTAATTAATTAACTTTTGCTTTCAAAACATATCTTCTCAACAATTGGAAACTTGAGTTCTATTTTAACATACCAGGATTTTGAAAAATTCTCAAAAAAATGATGGAGTCACAATTCTCTCATATATAACACAAAAGTAAACCAAAGAAACTAAAATGACTGCTGTTCATTAGGAAAGATCTTTCTCTCCCATTTTCTTTTGTCTGTGTTTCTTCCTTTGCTGTATGTTTGTTTTTTCTAGTTTAATTGACTTCAACAGCTCCTCGTGTTGAAAAGAGGCTGCGTATTCATTCTGAAAGTATTTGGTCTGGCATGTATAATTCGTAATTAGGAACAATAAACTTTATTATTATTATGACCATTTGTATGTCATGTTTTTGTTGGATTATGGTATGCAAATATAGATATAGAAAGCAAAGCCCTTGCACCAAATTTAAATGGACGTATGTAACGTACATACGAATAATTTACGGTTTTAATCGTTCGATAGGAAGTTGTCTACATAAACCAACTAAAAATTAGCTAGAATTTAAAATTATTAAAATAAACATACAAGAGTTTTATTATTAAAACTAAAATTTATTTTAAATACAATGCGGTTTTATAATTGTCATAAACGATAATTTATAATCACTAACAAAATGGAAAAATCGTAAGATATTGGTATGATTTTACACAAAAAAAAAGCAATAATCGGAAACAGATCAGACTTTTGAAAAAAAAATTACGCAAAACCTATAAATAAACTATATGAAACAGCATAGATCACCGAAATTAATACGCGATTTATCAACCATCTCATAAACACGGATTTCATTTCACGCAATAGAATTTATCACTCAAATTATTCGTTAAGGTATGCCCGCCATGCCAAATTTCAACCGAATGAGTTATATTTTGAATATTGCTTAATTTTCTTTCTAAATGGTGATATCCACACGCTTAACCACTTTTTCCGTGAAGATTTAATGAGATCTAGGCAAATTTTGAGCAAACACTGCTTCGAATGTTTAATGGAGCTTCTCTAAATGTATTTCATAGTTGCTTCACAAATTCGTGTATTATCGACATAAGGCCTATATCCCCAATATCTATATGAGTTCAATGCATTAGTATTTATTGTCAAGCCGTAGTGTTCAGAGCATTATCTCAGTAGTATCACAATATTCAACATTAGTAATGAAATGGCGATATTCACAGCAACGAAAAGATGTTCGAAGAATTTTCCACTGTCAGAAAAGTAGTACAGTGGTAAAATAATCACCTCAAACATGACATTCTTTTAAAAAAAAGTGGATGGAGTTGATAGGTGATTATTGTTCAAAATGCCCGTGAAGGTACGTACCATGACACTTAAATCTAAACGTTTTTAAAATTTCTACGAAAAAACTGGCGAGACAACTAGCGGAAAGCAGTCCACCATCTGATTAAAGAAATAGGGAAAATGTGGGGTTTCGATAACTAATTGATCTATAGAACTGTTAAATAATTAAATATAACGTCTAGAGGAAATGATGAAAAATAACATTAAATTCCAAATGTTAATGCCAACACTTCTCCTTGATCAGTTCTAATAGGTCACATAAATAAAAACAATCATTCAGTTTTTATTTCGACCAATACAGTTATCGCTCCAAACAACAACATTGCTTTTTTTCTGTAAGACCCAATTTCGTTACCACCATGTCCTGCCACACATGTATGAATGCCTGTCATCCCCAAAGTTGATTCCTAAGTTGTAGCATGAAAGTTGTCTCATGTAGAACATGTCAGAATGGGTTAAGTCCACTGAGAACACACGCGTGATGCTTCCTGGCACTTGCGATGATGCGATATCTGTTTTCATGAGCATACACGCTGCTTCCGCCTTGCTATGGTGCACCTCCAGCTCCAACTTTGCTGCCCCACTTCTTTCGCCCTGCGCTTTTATTGTGCAATTTAACGAGTCACATTTACGACAGGTGTGACTTTGACGTCCTCCAAATGAAACATTTGGAAAGTCTTCTTTCAACACTTTTTGGTAAAACTTGTAGGTGTCCAAACTAGTAGAGTAGTAGAGTAGATATTTCTGCAAAAACGCTTTATTAAAGCGGTTCATATTTCAATCTGGAATTTTTGCACTTTTTGCGAATAACGAGATTTTTCTCGGGGTATATTATTTATATGCTCTCTAACAAGCTGCCTATCACCCTAAGCTGTATGAGTTCTGATGTCTTTATAAACGGCTTTACCATGATGTACGTTCCACGGACTTTAGGTCTGCACTCATAGTATTTTTCAAAAAGTGTCAATCTATGTTCGTAGTTTAACGACTTGTAGTTAAATTTACATTTACATGTTATCTGCAAGAAAGAAGAATATTTTTTAGGACATAAAAATATATATACACAGAATAAAGGTCTGTCTACAAGATCGCCGTAGGGTTGTTCGTAATACTAAAAAAAAGGTTTGATGAGTATCTAATCCACTATACTAACAACAGCGCTCAGCCTGTGGATTCAAACCTACAGCGCATAAGATAAAATTTGGTACCGTCCTAGGGTCATGTAGACGATTCCATATTATAAATTAAAACAATAACTTACTTGTAGGTTAGGTATCTTTTTTTCAGCTACAGCGTTCCCATTTCTGTTTTTATAGGATTGTCCTGCAATTTTGCGTTGCCTTTGCCTATTCACTTAATCTTCCCATTTCTTGTGTTCGACGTTCAAAATTCATTTCGAATAGCTCTTTACAATATTTGACAGCGTCGTGACAGAAAACGATTTACGGCACTTGAGCCCTTTGTTGTAAAAATAACACATCACTAACAGGAAGCGCCACCTATCTGCGTAATTTGTTCCGGAAATTATGATCCTGACACTTTGCCCGCTTGACGGGTCATAGTGCATAGCACTTAGAATCTTTCTATTTAAAAATCTAATTTAAAAAAAAAAGGCATTTGGTCCCTTTGTTTCTTCTATTCTTCAAATGTAGTTTAAATATTTTTAAACATCGTCTTGTTTTTTGAATTTGAGATTGAAATATGGCAGTCACAGCAAAATAAATAAAGCTACCAACAAAAAAATCCAATATAACTTTCCCCAAACCACCCCCGCTGCCGTCGCCGGACGCACGAGCCGCCGATTAAGACGTTCCGCTCCCCCTAACCCCCTCCCGTCGGAAAACTTCTGTTTGATAAAAATAAAAGGCGGCCAAAGTTGGTAACGCAATTCATCACCGGCAGCATCGGCAGACAGAAGAGCTTTAGCTTTATATACAAGTATATTTCGTAAGTATTTTTGATATGGGGCTCGTTAATTACATTGTCGTTTCGCTATTAATAACGGGGCACGTCTCTTTCATTACGTTCCTCTCTCTTTCTCTCTCCCGTAAGCTCGCGGAGTAACCGCTATTTATTATTTCGACTTTAATAAATAACCTACAGATGTGGATAAAACGGTCAACAAAAATGTCGTCAGGCCGAATGTTATACAAATAAAATGAAACCGTGTTGTTACTTTCGAATTATATTGATTTAATTACGTAAAGACGTAAACTAAAACATTACGAAACTTTAAGAATACAACTGTACGGAAAACATCGACAACAATATACATTTTTCTACTCCCGTCTGTAAAATGCCAAAATGTCTAATTACACATCGATCTAGCGTACGGGAAGCGTCACTTGATCAGTCAGTTTCCTTTCCCACGGATCCGAGCCAAACTTTTGAAATATGCAGACTGTTTAAAAAATACGTTGCACTATTTAGACAATACATATTTGGCAGCATTGTTTCTAGTGGCTGATTTGGCTTTAACCTTTATAAAACATATTGATAAAATGTACGCCACTGACTTTAATTTAATTGATATACTTCCCTGAGATAGAGCGACTAAAACTACTAATTTTTCGTCCCTTGAATTTTTCTCATATCTTGCTTCGTTTACGAGATAAAAAGTAGAAGCTATTTTTTAACTTTCTAATAATATCTGTGACTAATTCAACCAAAAATAACTTAAAATTTATCATACAAATAATTTGCAAAAACGGTTGCGCAAAAAAAAAACATTGACAGAACGCAATGCGTGGAAGAAAATTCACAGCAAGTGGTTCAACTGTCTTTGAGAATTTGCCAAACAGTTCTTAAGTTTCTTGTCCTTTGAATTTGTTTGATTTCAAAAATTTCTCTATCGGGCGCAGTATCATTCGAGAACCATTTGTACAACCGCTTCCGATGCATTGCCATCGCAAAGTCCATAAATAAAGTGCAATATGTACATAGAGACTATACAACAGGGTTCCAAGTACTTACTGACCATTGTGGTTTCCTATAAGTTTTAGAACCCCAACAGCGTCTTCAAGGGATATGCTAGTGTTTTCTATCATATATGTTCCCCCAAAATCCCGTTTTGCAAGATTTATGTAATGTAAAACTGCAATAACTATTTATTTTTTGTCTAGAACTCTCAGGATCTAGCCCACAAAATCACCCACTCTTGTTTCTTCAAAAAATTATACGATCGATATCAACTAGGATGACTGGTGAAAGAAAAAGACCTAAGTTGCGGTTAAGATTATTTGGTTGTTTAGAGATTTCTATGGATTCTTTAAGCAGTTGGGCAGTATTCGTTAGCATTTCATGACTAACAACATGACAGTCTCCTCTTATCCTGTGTTTTATATCGTCTTTTGTTGTGGGGACAGTTTGATACACCTTGTCTTTAACATATCTCCACACAAAAATATAGTAAATCTTGTTTATATCTGGAGATTTAGGTGTTAGGTTAACTAATACTTACAAATCATACTGTTACTTCTTAATTCTCACAGATAATAATGCATTCTTCTCCCTGGATCCCAATACGAAAATCATGTCTTCATTTCTTCTATCTAAAACTTCATGGTTGAGCTGCAACTTAGGCAACCAACAACAAATTAATTATGAAATAGTCGGTTAATTCGTTGCACAATCGGAATGTACAAGAAATGAATGAGATAAGCATTGTTGGTTCTATGAAACTCCTGGTGAAATGGACGTGTAGCACGAATGTTTCGGAATGGAACGTGTAGACCAATCCTCGATGTAAACGAAAGACAGTCTTGTGTAGAATTAATGAGTCTCTGAACTAATTTTAAGTCCCTATGCTTCCTTCGACAAACAAGAGTTGTTAATGATGAGCCAAGGAATTCCTGATTGTTACAGAATTTATAGCTGCACTGAACAATTTCGATGCGCTGTATATGACAGGTGTAATTGGAACTCCATAATGAAGCAGCATATTCTAGATGCGATGTGACATACGAATAATGGCATTGATATTTGAGAAGTCCCTTGTACTGAGCCTAACAAAGTCCAGCATGCGAAGTGATTGCGACAATCTATCTTCTGGATTGCTAGACAGTCATTTTGAGTGGCTGTTCTTAACAACAGTTTCAGATCCTCATTAAAAGGAAAGAAAAAACTATACTTAAAACACGATGTAATGTAATTGACTAAGGTATTGAACAATAAATGAGATATATTACTTTCACACACTATTTGGACACTCTGTAGAGGGAAGCCTAGGAATTTGAAGCTCTGAACTCCCTAAAAGTTAAATTCGCCTATTGTGACATTTTTCCTGATGACACACATGGTTTTTATTTCAATGATATTACGACCCATTTAGTATATTTGTCTGATTATATTTCCCCTAGCAAAATTCTAGCCTATAAAGAGGTGGTGCAGCCCTTGGTTAAATTTCCAGGCCTTCTCCATCATTTGCCTAATCGCAAGTGTCTGTTCTATGGTTGATCACCAATGCAGCTGCCAACCAGCGGTGCTACTCGGTCCAGTATTGTTATTCAATAATATAATACCGCCTTTTGACACTATAAAAATTAAAAAGCATTGGGCAGTTTCCGAGAGGTCGTTAATAAATTTTAAATGTGGCAACGGTGTTCCGTCATGTTTAGAATGTGATTTCGTGTTGGCCGCGTACACATCGCGTCTCGTTTTGTTTACGACGTCACTGAATTATTAAAGTTTCGATCCGGCGCTTCTAAACTTGCTACAGTTGATGGTAACGAATTTACCATCAGCCCACACTAAACTAGACAAAAGAAAAATAAATATCGAATTCATGTTCGCTTTTATATTCTCCGGTTGTCAATTTCGCTTGGTATTAAATTTCCACTCAGCCGTAATACGACGTTCTCAATAACAGAAGATGAAAAACCCCCTCCCCGCGCACCGGGGAGCTGCAATCTTTGATTGTTTACGTTGCAATTCCGCTCTTAGATAACGTCGTAACGCCCTTCAATTCGTTGTTTGCTTATAAACTGAACGTAGTGTTTTACAAGCGATTTATAAGGCGAAGGCAATTGACTTTATTAAATCCAAATAGGCAAATTACTTCAACGAGCTCCGAGTCCTGTGTTGACATAACGGCGGCTGATTTTAAAAATCGCGAGTTTTACAGTAGGTGACACCCAAACCAAATTTTCAGATTATAAGGAGTAGTGGGTGGTGGTGGCAACAAGGCCATGCAACCATACCGCGGGCTCAATACGATACCGTAGATTTTGAAGGAAAAAAAACAGTTGTCTGGCAACACCGCCTATAAATTGCTCAAATCACAGCTGGACCTGGACTTCTTCCAATGCTATAATAATTTTCTTCATCATTACTCTAAAAAGTCCTGTTGTTGTGGAAGAGAACCAAGTTCCAAGGTTCTTTAATCAAGAAATTCTTCTCATGCCAGGTCCCCCTTTTTCCTGCAAATTTTCCTTATAATATTTCTTGCACTCTTTCTCGTTCCGCATTATACGACCCAGTATTCGAGCTTCCTTATTTTTACATTGGATTACATTAGATTTTATTTCATATCATGAACAATACAATTGTAAACAAGAAATTTTAACAAAAAGGAGTAAAAATGCATTCCGGCCAAATATTCCCTTACGGTTCCGTTGAATGACTGGAATGACAGGGAGGAATCTAGTATAAATATTCATACTGCTGTACGAGGTGTATTCAAAAAGTAAGATGACTTTAAAGTTTCCGGTTTTTTTTTTAATTTATTTACCAAAATTAATGTTGTCTCCTTCAAAGTAAACCCCTCCAGATATAATACATTTGTGCCAACGTTTTTTCCAATCCTCGAAGCACTTCTGGTTAGCATTTTCTAGTATAGCATTCCAGCGATATTTTCTCTTCTCAATCGTTCCAAACCCCCTTCCTTTCATGAGTTTCTTGAGTTTTGGGAACAGGAAAAAGTCGCAGGGGGCCATAGCCGGTGAATATGGTTTTGTTTTTCGCCAAAAATCCACGTTTCCGGACGTTTTCTTCGTATTGCTTTTTGCAAATGGCGCATAACTTCAAGGTAATATTCTTTATTGACCGTACGACCTTGTGGTAAGAACTCATAATGTACTACGCCCCCCTAAACAGTAAGCAAAACCTTGATATTTGATCGAACATGAAGTGCTTTTTTCGGTCTTAGCGATTTTGGGTTCTTCCATTGGGACGATTGGGCTGTGGTTTCGACGTGTTGGAACGTCAAGAGCGAAGTTCGTCATCGGCGTTTCGACCATCTTGGAACAGCTTATATCACTTATAAACATTTTTTTTTGTTGCTCGAAATAGATTCAGCATATGCCGTTGTCAACATTTCAAGTGTTTTGCAGCATTGTATTTCATTTTTTTGCACAAAATTTTATGCAAATTCCTTGTTTCATTTACTTGACAGCAGAAAATCGCCACCCACAAAACAACGCTTC